TAAATATTGGCCTTCTCATTTCCAAACTCAGAACAATCAGGAAGCTTAAGAAATTTTGCCCTGTCAAAGTTGGAAGCAAAAGCTGGTCCAATTTTCAATGGAAAACCTCACTTTCTATATCAATTCCTTTATCCAGTTCACTTAGTTTCAAATAGATATTGACTGACCTAGCTTTCTGGGCTCTACTTTAAATTGTGGTGTGTTTTTTTTACTTTCAGCCCCACCTCATTTTCTTATGTCTGGTTTGATGACTTTGATTGAATTTCATTGTTTTGGATTAGGGCTTTCATTTTTACTATATAAAAAAGAACCTTAGGAGAGTATGTTCCTGACTAAGCACCCTGCTCAGTGGAATGATAGGCTCCAAGGGCATATATCAGGGATTAGTCCCTGAAATATGTAATGGGTGGATGTGACCAGTCCCCAGCGGGGTGGGATCTGTTATTTGATTGTTGCACTTTTTGGCAAAGCTAGCGGTCTCTCTACCCTGTGTGACTCCACTTCAGACCTATTCTACTCCAAACTTCAGGCCTATTCTAGTCCAAATTTCATAGTAAATTACATTAATAACCACTGTTGAAATACAGAGTTATGTTTAGAGCTACCAGGTTTTAACACATTTTACACAGGTTTTTGCATTCCTGTTATAGATGCCTTGAACATCCTTTCTCTTTCTGGATGTCTGTAAACAGGACCCTCTGCAAATGCATTTTTCTTTTCCTTTTCCTTTCCTCCGTCTGATGAAGTAGGTATGAAGGCTCATGTCACATGGTAAGTGTGATGGTCTCTCAAGAAACAGATGGACATCTGACCACTTTCATGTTGCAGATGAAGGCTTCCAAATATACCCTGTGGCCCATAGCTCTGCACCTCATTCTACATCAGTGGTTCTTAACCTTTGTTACTCGGATGCTTTTGAACTGCAACTCCCAGAAACCCCAGTCAGGACAGCTGGTGGTGAAAGCTTCTGGGAATTGCAGTCCAAAACTCCCGAGTAACCCAAGGTTAAGAACCAGTGTTCTACATGAATAATATTTCTTCATTGTTGTAGATTCTGTGCCGATACCGTCCTATTTGGAACATGGAGCTGTTTCTGCGGCCAGTTTTCCTTGCAGGCATAATGAAGGAGTCTGGTAGGTACTGAATTGTCTTCACATTTGGCACTCCTAGATAAATAGGCAGCAACAACTGTTTACTAAAAATGGTTACTTCAGAATAGAGATGAGCATGAACCTTAATCTGGAGGTATCTGCCGGTTTGTTGTTACAACACCAGAGGTTGCTGTTCTCTTGCTTTGTAAGTGCAGGAGCCAGCCATAGGGGTTGAGGCAAATTTAATTTACACCACAGCAGATGCATATATCATTTCATATATTCTTTATCCTTTATCTTATGTATCTCTTTGGAAGTACTCTTATTGAAATGAGGGCTTTCATTTTCTACATTTTGAGCCTCAGTCTTTGCTTTCCTTCTTAAACTATATTGTTTATTCCCAATTAATAACTCACTTTCTGGACTTTACTGTGAAGATTAATCTTGATAAACTTTGTTAAAGTGAAATGAACAAAGTTCTTGGATCATCAGAAAGTTGGGTGGTAACTGGATGAGACGGCCATAATTTTGTGTTGTCTGTAAAAATGGCTTTACTGACCTATCCCCAGGTTTTTTTCAGTTCAGACTTTTTGAGGTTAAGCTCCCCTACTCCCACATAAGATGTGAGTGATCGTAAGAGACAATATAATTTGTCAAAATTGTCTTCTCTTCCTGTAACACACTCCCCTCTGCAACAGGTAATCAACCCCCAGCAATGTTGCCAAGAAGAGCAGCATATATGACGAAAGATCTCAAGAGGATGGCAAAGTTCTACCAAGTACCAGTACAACAACCAGCAGATTTTATGGGGACTGTTATTAGGAAAGGTAAGAAAACAATCTTTTTCTTAGAGAAATGGCTCCTCTGTCACTAGAAAGGAAAGGTGTTTTCAGCCATTTCTTATGTAAGGACAGGTCACTTACCTGTAGCTGTCATTTTTCGAGTGTTCATCTGTCAGTTGACACATGTGGGTTTTGCACCTGTGCAGATGCCAGCCTCAGATACTTCCAGAGCCTCAGGAGAAAGGCTCCCCTCCCCCAGAGCTGCTGTGCATGATCAACCACACCATAATTGGTTCTCCATCAGTTTTCCTCTGTCTGCTGCCCACAATAACACTGATCATGACAGAGAGCAAGGTGAGCGGATGGCCCCCATTCGTTTTGGGGGACTTTGAAGTAATGGGCACAGTACCCACCATAACCTCTGAAAAATGGCAGAGGATAGAAAAAGGACAAGACAAATCCATCCGTGGGCAATACTGAGAATCTAACAGCCATTCTCTACAGCAGCCAAATAGCCCCCTTGGGGAGCCATAGGACATTTGAAGGGAGCCACAGACTGGAAAGAGTTCTTCACACACCACCTCCTAAAGATTGTTTTGTGACTTATACAGTCCTGACTTGGCCTATATGTGTTTCATGTTGTGTTTATAGCTGTGGCCAAAGCAAGGTTGAGAATGGCTGGACAAGGATGTTCCCTCTGGTACCAATGTAGGGATAATGACCAGGATGTGTGTGTGAGTCTCCTCAGTGTTGGTGAGCGTGACTGCCATTGAGACCGAGATCTTGGTTGCGATCCTGACTATTGTCCATTATGGTTCCAAGACGGGGCACCTTGTTGAGGGGTGGAAAAGGTGGATTCCATCAACACTTGCTGCACTAACCCACCTGATGAACAAATGGTGTACATGGTGTGAGAAAGGGAGGTGATCCAACCAATTCTCCCTCCGGTGCTGAACACGACAACATGATCTCTCCATTGTCTGGGTTCCAGGGAGTTGTTGAATGGCCTGATGAGAGGGCCCAAGGCGATGTAGGCGTAACCCCTGAGCACACCTCAGCATCTGGAATTTTGGAGCAAATCAAAGATTCCTGATTTCTGCCTCTTTTCTTGTGTGTTTTTAGAGTTGTCCTGTCTGGTGCTGGACTTTTTCCTTCTTCCCTTTTGTTGATCAAAACACCTCAGAAGCAAATCTGAGGTGTTTGCAAATTACATGGTTTGAGTGTCAAAAAAGGTTTGTGCACTGCTTGTGGGTCAGCAAGAGGCCAAGCAACAGTCTTTAACAAATTCACTGATTTCTCCCAAAGTGTAGGATTAAAGCTTTGTTTAATTTCAAGGCAGCAGAGGTAAAACCCTTGCAGATCCTATACTTCCGAATCATATGGCTCTTGCCTAAACAGCATTTTTCATATTGGTCATGTTACAGCAGTGGGCTCGTGCCAGACATAAACAGCAAGGTGGGAGTAAGGAAGGAGCAAAGAAGAATGAAGAGAGAACTATTTACAGTTCATGTTCAGTAGTGCTTGGGGAGGGAAGAGTTTCTCCTGAAGCTCTGGAAGGTTCCAAGGCTGGCTTCCGCACAGGCACCAAACCCATGTGTGTGATTCACAGATGACCACGACAAAGAATTATATTAATCAGTGTCAGAGGAAAGATTAAAAACTATATCCTCCACCCTCAGGTAGTGCCATTGTCTTGACATTTTTCCTCACTGTAACCCTGTTATTAGTTCTCTAAAAAGTGCTGAAGGTCTGATCATATCTAATTTCTCCTTAAAGAGCACCGTAAAGATTAGAACATTTGCATCATTATAGGTTTTGGTCGATAGTGATGCACTTCATCAGAGAGAGGCATGTAACACAGCTTTAGAAGGAAGATATTTTACACAGGGGAGTGGAATGACAATGCAAAAATTAGCAACTTGGCAGAGATGTTGATAGCGGTTGTTGTGTGGCCATGTTGTCGTCCAGTAAGAGCTTTGTGCAAACTCTCATGTTCTTTGTGTGTTCGTCTTTACCAAATGCAGGTTCTCTAGCTGCGATGCGTTTCGTCACAGCTGTGGATTTAACAGAACCTCGATTTGTGGAGTCTGTCTCCAGAGAACTGTGGTTGCGCATTTGGTCTCGGGTGAGTATCCAAGTACTTGCAACTTTTTTGTCCCAACTTCTTGAGGATGCCCAGGCAAGAAAGTTTAAATGACTCTGGTGTAGAATCCGCAAAGCCAAGGGCACCACTGCAGCCTTCCAGGGAATTGCTAAAGCTGCTCCTGCTGTTACGAAGACCTGCAAAGGCAGATTGTTCTGGTGTGATGGAGTCAAGAAAGCCAATCAGATGGGAACCACAACAGTAGTTCCTGCCATTTCAATACTTATGCCATTGGCTATGGGCTGCAAGCATCCCGCTGGCACAGTATGCAAAGGAGAGTGGGGCAGGGTAGTGAAACCCTCTGTGCTTAACAATGCAAAGATGAGGAAGCAGCAGATTACTTAAGGCATTGCAAACTTTGGGCCAATTCATATATTTAAGGAGGACTTGGGGAGAGAGGATCCAGCACCAGTGAGCTCAGCTGAAGCATGCCAGGAGCACATGCTAGGGTTGCAAGGAGAAGATGCTGAGGATGGGAGTAAGGAGAGGGGGGAACCCTCTGCTGCAGGTTACAATCCCATCTCAGAGCTTCAAGGAGGGCCCACTGAAGAGGCTGCCTCAATAGGGGTGACGTGCAGGGAAACATGCAGAGAAGACATGGCTGGCCCTCTTAAAGTGAGGTAGGGTTGAGGCTTTAAAAGGAGGAGTTCCTAATTTCCAGGAGGGAGAGAGCAGGAGGATACAAAGGGCAGTGAGTCAGAGGAGCCCGAGATTGAGGCATCGGGACCATCCAGGAAGGACAGCAGGTGCCTTTTAAGAGACGTCTCAGTGGGATCATCTGCCAAGGGCAGAAACCGCTTTGCAGCAAAGGCAGCTAATTCAGGGCAAACAGTATCTGGCCCCCACCCACCCAGAAGAGACGTCAGCAATGTGGGGTGACAAGTTGGCTTGTAATCATGGGACAAAAAGGATGGGTCTGAGTTCCCCCTGAGTGAAGGGAGGGGCCCCAGACCCAGTAAGGGGAAGACTTGGAACTGGACCAAGAGGGATGGAGTTGGAACTGGCTGGATCACCTTGGTACCTGTACCAGGAGACTAAAGGGCACCATGTGTAAACAATGAACGCCTAATTAGGAGCCAGCAAGGCAGACTGTCTCCAAGCAACAGGTATCTCTGTATCTCTGTCACAACAGGTTTGTATGACATTGCCCTGACCCCTTGGTGTGGGGGACTGGAGGTGTCACATACGGAGCTGTGGCAGAATGTAATAAATCTGAGTTTACCTTTGTTGCTCAGAGGTCGTAAGAGGTTAGCAGAAGGTGCACTCTTGATGTCCACCTGCATCGTGGCCAAAAAAAATCTATGGCACCTTATGTTCACCCTTTTGTTTTTCTTCAGGTTTCTGTTTATTGTTGGACACAGATAACTATGCTGATACTTTTGTGATCAGTCTCTTGACTCTTGAGTATTTGTAATCCTGCACTTTTCTCCTTGTCCCTGCAGGATGAAGACATCACCCAGCCAGAGAGCATTTTGGCAGTAAGGTTGTTTCCTCCCTCTCCTTTTCAGCCACAGCGGGCCTTCCGTTGGCTTCTGATGCATTTGATGTCTAGATGATGCTACAAGGATATTTCTGCTGTTGGAACAGACAGACCAAGGGCTCTTTAAATGCCTTCCAACTCTGACTTTCTGACTGATGTACTGTTGAATCCCGGGGGTGTTGGGGGCGGCATGATTCTTTGCATCAACATTGCTCTGTGGGTGGACTGACTTTGCCGGTCTGCATAGACAAAGATGCAGAGACATAGTTTATTCAACTCCCAAATTTGGGAGTTTTTGGACCTTGACATATTTTTTCCTGCCCTCCCCCTTGTTTGGCAGGGTTATTTGACATGCAGAAAATTGAGGTTCATTCCCAGCATCTCCTGTCAGCCGGCAAAAAGGGCCTAGAGTCGAGGGCCTTAGTGGAGCAGTTTTCTGACTCAGAGCAAAGCTGTTCCATGTAAAAAGAATAAATAATTGGCACTGCGTTTACTGTCTGCTCCTCAGGCTGCAGTGAAAGCGGGCTTACCTGAAGGTCAAGCCCAAAAGCTTCTGGAAATGAGTACCTCACCTGATGTAAAGGATCGCTTGAAAGCAGCAACAGAAGAAGTATTAAAATATGGGGTGAGCCAGCAAGGAGAGAGTGAAGGGGGCTCTTTGCCAAAAGGGCAGGGTGGGGAATTAAGAGGTACAACAGTCAGGAAGTGCAAATGCTCTGGTGAGCCACCAGATTGACCCGTGAGGTCGCCCTGGGGCCCTGTACCAGGCTGTCATCCCTGGCAAGCTGAGCCTTCTCATTTGTGCTTTACTTGCACTGCTCTTGATCCGTTATGACACATTTCTTCACTGCCAGCATGAGACTTACTTCAAGATGAGGAAAAGATGTCCTTGGGAAATGGGTTGGCAAAGGGCTGGCCAATCTATTCTTTTGTTTCCTTTTGTTTCCTAGAGCTTGTTCTCACGTACATTTGTGTGTGTCTCTGTGGCACCATGTGATAATTCAGCACTCAGTGGCTTTTGGCTGAACCTGGGAACTATTGAAAATTACTGTGTTTGAACTAATATGGGATGGCATGCAAATTCTGTCTGCAGTGGCTTATTTGTGCATGGAATCCTTTGTTGCCGTAACCC